TTTCACTAACACCTGATGAACACACGTGTAGTTCAAACACTGATTATTACACTACATTTTATTACTATTGTTTGTATTATGGTTTACTTTTTTAGATAAAATTATTAAACGATCACGAACATTTTTACAAACTGTACCTATTTGTTATTACTCAGTTTACTAGAACTTCGCTTTACTACTCAAAACTTTAACGATAAATTAAAAAAAAAAATACTTTAAAAATAACAGTATCTTTTTACCATGTTTTTGAAACGGAATAATGAAATATTTATACATAACTGAATAAAATTAATCGTTATTTTTAAATTTCGTGACATTTAAAAATAATTTGTCTTGCTTTATTATCATTAGATGGCTCTGTGTAACCACTAAGACATTTAACGGCAAATAAAATATTTAAACGATATCGTTGCACCTGAGTACGAAAGTGTCAAATTTTTAAATTATAATCTTATTTTCCGCATATTTTATTTTTAAGCAACCAAATTCAAAACAACAACTTAAAAATGAATTAAGTTGTTACATATTGTTTAAAAAAGTATTTAATAGTTTTTTAAGACGAACACCTGCTGAGTGGGGTTAACTTTTTTAAAAACAACAAAGAAAAAATGTATACAGACTTCATTTTCTAATTAGACAGTAATAGTAGAAGTTATTAAATAATAATTGTACACTAATTAAAAAAAAATAATCAGTTCTAAAAAATTATGACTTGCACTAATTAAAAAAATCAAATTTAATTCACGACAGTGATATTAGATCAAGGAATTTGTTTCGCAACACATACTGATTTTTTCTAATTAAATTTTTATTTAAATGTCCTTAGGTTAAATACACGTTAAGGGATATTAACACGGTTGGATTTAAAATTTATGAACGCAAAACAATAATAGTAATAGTAAAACATGAAAGACAATACTAATGTAAAGTAGTACACACAGATATTTCATACTGTCCACCTCTACCCAAACTATGCTAAACTTGTTTTTTTAATACGACACAAAACAATTCATTGTTCTTTGGAAACGATACAAATAAATATACATTTCTTTTTTCTAAACAATAAATTCGCGGTTGACTTTTATTCTTCCTAGACAAAAATTCATTAATAAATAATAACGACTTTTCTTTATTAGAACGATTTTCCATATGNTCATTAATAAATAATAACGACTTTTCTTTATTAGAACGATTTTCCATATGACATTGGTTCGTAACCCGAAGGGTTTTTGTCTTATTATGGAAATGTGATATTGAAAGTTTTCCTTTATAATTTTGAAAACGAAATAATGTTTTTTTTATGTGCTATTATGGTTTCATGACGATTCTGAATTCCCATATAAGGTTACGCAACAATCTATATAGGCTTTGGATTTCCAAGTGTTTTTCTTTCTTCGTTTAGGCGCAAAGCATTTATGGAATAAATGCGTTGTGATAGACATCACGTTATACATTGAAGAACATAAAATAACATAATAATTTACTAGCCGAGAATCTAGTGAAAAAAATTTAAGCGACGTGCGCAATGTGGGAGTTTGAGTCTTTACGATCTGCTGAGTAATAAAAATACACCTCACGAATTAAGTAAAATGAATGCCTTCGACTTGGAAATCCATACGGATATTATTAATCAGTGAACGAGAGCTATGTGAGCACGTTATACGAGCTCTGTAGTTGAAAAGTTTCGACATCATAAATCAGATGTTTAATGGGATAAAAAACGGTTAATGCTATCCGATGCGTGTAAGGGTTAATTTTTTAGTTTACTTTGGGCTAACAACTTTCTTTTTTATTGCAAATTTAACCGCACTTAAGTTAATAAGGCGTTAATAAAAGTTCGCCTGTTTTCCAATTCAAATTTACAATATTTGC